TATTCCTTAATAAAATCCATTCTTTAATGCATGTTAACGCCACCGTTTGATAATACAATTCCCAATTCGGAAGGCCAAACCCACCTCTAATTCTTGCATCTTGTAGCATTTTTATATTAATCCTTGCTCTCTTTCCTTGTCACACATATTTCCACATTATTTTCTTCAACTCTTCAAAATATTTTTTCTCCAGTTTTATTGGTATAGTTTGAAATAAAAATTTCAAGCTTCTGCCAACCTAGCAGTTCGAAAGCACGTAAAAAATGCAAGTAGAAAAATAGGGAGCACCCTTGGTGGGAAGGTAACAGCCTTCCATGCATCTTTGGCATTTAGTCAAGCCAGCCACATAACCACGGAGATGTTTTCGGACAGTGCTGGCTCTTCGGGTTTGAAATGGAGATGAGCACCGCCCACTACAGTTGGGAATGACTAACAAATATGTGCAAGGTGTACCTTTACCTTTATTTCTGCCCAAGCCAAGTGTGAGGGAAAAAGGATTCAAGCTTTTCCATTTTCAATTACCTAATCAAAGATCAGGTCAATTCTGAGGCCGGTGCCTGGAGGGTTTGAGATCTTCCTGAACTAAATTCTCTCCAACAGACAATTCATTCTTCTTCTTCACTGATGCCACTGAGGGGTCTCCGGAATCTGAGGCAATCCCATCTCTGCCACCAGTTGTTGAACATTCCATTTTCCTTCCTTCCTTCTTTCTTTTATTTTGAACCACCAATAAGTAGATTGATACAGACTTAATTTTCCAAAAATCACTGGAAACTTGAACAAGTGATTTGGTTTCACAGTCATGTGAAATATAACAGCTGTTTCACGCGATCGTCTGAGTGTCCTTTTTTCACTTTTTTAAAGCATTTTTTTACTATGTATTTGTCTGAACTGGTTGTAAAAAAATGCTTAAAAAGTAAAATAAAAAAAAGTTCCAACGATTGTGCGTCACTCAGCTGATCATCGGAAGTTTTCTTTTACATTTTTTAATACCGGTTCGGTGAACCAGTAGCATTTTTTATTACCGGTTCGGGTGAACCGGCCCGAACTGATACCATTTCACCCCTGGATTGTCCCCAAGTGGAGCCTTTGGGGCAAGTGGGAGCAGTGGCTGCAGGGGAGAATTTGGCTGGAGGGTCTGGTGGGGCCATGGGGGACCCTCAGGATGCATCTTCCTCAGAGTTGTAGAGAGTCGCCTACAGGGAGATGCAGATTGCATGTTTATAATCACCATTCACTTATGAATGGTAATGATAAAGTGTTCAGATTAAATTTAGCTGGTAATCTAAAAACATTTTCCAAGAGTTTATTCATGAAGATCAATGTGGCTTTTTACTTAAATGACAAAAGACAATGTGAGAACTGTGTTGGTTGCCATAGTACTTTTACAACAACATAACAAAAAACTAGCTGTATAGTTCTTAGATGCAGAGAAAGCCTTTGATCATTTGCATTGGCCTTTTTTGCTTAATGTTCTGGAAGATATGAGTCTTGCTGAAAATTTTATTCAAGAAATTTAGTGTCATAACCATGTGATATCCAGAAGGGGACAAGTCAAGATTTTCCTTTGTCCCCTTTGCTGTTTATTTTGGCTCTTGAAGTGTAAAGGGAGGAAAATGGGCCAGTCCTGGAGTCAGGGGAAGGTCCAGACGAGGGCTCTGCATTAGAGGCAGAGATGGGGCCAGGGCCATCTGGGAGTGATGAGCGGACTCCGGAGCCTCCAGAAGCGAGTAACAGAGAGGCAGAGGAACAGGAGGAACCTGATCCTAGTGCACGCATGTGAAGAGCTGCCAGAAGGCAAAAGCAGCTAAAGCAAAAAGGACGACTCGGGAGTAAGGCCAGGAGATGATTGGCCCCTTAATTTTAACTAAACTGAGAATGAAGTAACTCTCAGCTGTTTCAATAAAACAGGTTTGTTTAGGACTGATTGTGTCTGGTAATAACTACTTGGGCCTAGGTCACAACAATTGGTGTCAAGGGGAAAAAAGATCTATTAGCCCTATATCTTTCTTCATATTTATACAATGATATAATCCAAAAATATTCAGTGTCCTCAACCTAGAGTGGCACCAAACTCCATGTTTCTGGGTGACCTTACTCAGCAGTCTCTGGAGAAAAGAGTCCATATTGAAGGATAGCAGAAATCAAATACATAGGTGTTGAAATCCTGCATTTCCCTCCAGCATCATTTTCTGGACAGGTCCTGACAGGAAAGACCACAACCATTAAAGAACACTGCCCTCAGGGGTATGTCTGTATTTTTTCACAAACATGCTGTATATCAGGAATAAGTTCAGGGTCCCCAGAGGAAAAGTTGCTTCTCACTGTAATTATCATCATCCTGCTCTTTGAGATGTCTCCTTCTACTTCTCTAGTGACTGTCTTTGATGTAAACATCAGACTGAAGTACTGTGGAGGGGATCTTGCATCAGAAAAGGATAAATGCTTTAGGTGACACTGTGTTATGTGAATTTTACGACAGTCAGGTGCTGTGCTGTTAAATGTCCTTTTCTCTCCTTTCCAGGTGAAGCATGATTTGTCTCTTTTAATTTTCAGGGCTTTTAATTCTTCAACTCTTCTTGTTCTTGTTTAGAAACAGGAAGGGAATTGATTCAGCCCCATGAATTATGAACCTCCTACTTCTGCTTCTGATGCTACTGCTGCCCCAGCCAATCTCTGGGAAGCTTAGAATGAAATGTCCACTGACTCTGGAACACCAGGATGGAGAAAAACCATGGAGCTATTACAGACCAGGAGACCATCTCATTGCTGTTATCACCAGTGAAACAAAAATATCTCCTGTAATGTTCGCTTTCAATGCAGCTCCTTCTAGTCAGTCTAATTCGTAAGTCATTCAGGATAATGGAGTTGCATTCCCTTCATTTATAATTCTAACAGCTCATTCTTTTTTCTCCTTATTCCACTTATTCCAGATGGATATGGCAGCACCTCTCCTGTCTAATTTCCTAAATCATTGAAATTTCCATGCTTTCTTTGTCTTATTTTGAGGAACAGATTCAAATCCAAAGATGGAACAGAAAAATAATATGAAACAAGTCCACATTATTTTCCTCTGCCTGTTCAATCTTGAATTCATGACTTGAATACTGATTTTTATTTAAATTAGTGATTCTTGTAGTTTTCCCCTGCCCAGCTCATTTCAAATACAACTACTCATTGATATTTACTTCCAGATCCTTATAGAAATACAGGATAACTTAGTTTTAGAATTGGTTTCTGGATCACTTTTGAAGCATCCTCTTCCTTTTATGGCAGTTCTACCGTAATTATTCAATTACAGTAGGCTTCAAAAGAGAAAGTGGTTTAGATTGAAAAGAAGTATATTGTTGGTTCTGTTGATGATAATGACATGATCATATTTACAACAGTTTGTTTGTTCATTTTTACAAGAGTTTATCTAATACTCATTGAAAAATGCTATGCTTTATTTTGATTAGTCAAGCAAAAATATATCAAAAATATAAAATATATTTTGCTATTCATGATGATGGTAATGGTGATGATAAAAATGAACATTCTTTTACAGTAGCATATCTTCTGATCGGTCTAAAATCCTACGCTTTATTTTCGCTATTCAAGTGGTCAATAAGAATTCCCAGCTCCTGCAAAATCTCACACTTGGCTACGACATCCATGACAACTATATGAACACTATTGGCACTTCAGATGCCTTGCTGGACATGCTCTCCACTGGAGAAGCCAATGTTCCCAACTACAGCTGTGGAAGGAAGGACCACCTTTTGACTCTTGTTAATGCAGCTGTCAGGGACATCTCCATCCAGATGTCAACATTAGCAGACACCTACAAAGTCCCACAGGTTTGTGTGTGTGCCTTTCTATCTAGTAAAAAGAGTGAATCGGTAGGATGGGTAAGCAATGCATTCAATCATATCCATTCTAGGGCATTCAAGAGTTGCTTTCCTCTGTGGCCAGTGTAGGTATATTGTCTAGTGATGGATGGGATTGATACTGGGGAGGGGAAAAGCAGCAAAGCAGCCCTATCATGTCATGACACCATCCCCGTTGCTTTGGGGGCTTCTACTGCACACCTGTGAAAATAAGGAGGAGGTCAAAATCCTTATATTAAAACAACATATAACCTTTGTGGACAGAATTTAAAAATCTTACATAAAGTATGCCTCTTTATTTGAACAAAACAATTCAATTGAATCTGCAAATGTGGGTCTGATTTCAGAAAAAAAGGGAGTAATCAAGAAATATCATTTGCATTCTTTATTCTGATTGTTTTTTTAATTACTTCCTTTCTTTTCTTGTATTTTTTATCTGGTCTTGCTAATATTCTGTCTGTAATATTAGCTAATCAGGAATACAATATTCTAATACCTTGATGAGGAAAAAGTTGGATTTATTGGAAGAATGACAGCATTGTTCATTGCTTTTTCAGATCACTTCTAACATTGTTTCAGCGGCTCTGAGTGATAAAAGTCAATTCTCATTTTTTTACCGGATGCTCCCCAAAGAAGGGATCCACTACCCAGGAATTGTCCAACTGCTCCTCCATTTCAGATGGACCTTGATTGGTCTCTTTGCTTCAGACACAGAGAAGGGAGAGAATTCCATGAGGACTTTGAGTCCTATGCTGGTCAGGAATGGAATTTGTGCTGTTATATCAGAACAAATTTCACCCGCTGGACATACAGCACCCCTCAGGGTTGCCATTTCCAAGTGGAGACAAGTCAATGTCTTTGTTCACATCGTAGAATATTTTTCTGTTTGGGACAGAATTCATCTTTTCCATTCAACACTTAAAAGTTTGCCAGAACCCATTGAAGGGAAAGTCTGGATAATTGCAGTCCTTGGGGAAAGGCAAATAAAAAGACATATATTTCTGAAATATATCCATAGTGTTTGGATCTACATTTTCCAGTTGAAAAAAAGGCCAAAGGACAGTTCCTTTGAACCAGATCTCTTTGTGCAACCACAGTTAGGAGATCAATCTTTTCTCTGTTCTTTTTCAGAAGACATCATTTCTGTCAAAGGCCGGAGAAGATGCACTCAGAAATCTCCACTGAAGACCAAAGTGGAAAGAAATTGGCTCTTGTACCGACATAACTACCATGTTTACGCTTTGATTAATACTCTGGCCCATGCCTTGAATGCTGCATATTCCTCCATATCGAAGAGGAGAAGAAAAGAGGGAGAAGAGAGGCTGGGGACTCAAAGGCTGCAGCCATGGCAGGTATGGGGTCCTGACAAAGATCCATCAAAGTTACTTTCTTTGGATAAGGAATACAAAGGGGAAAAGGAAACTATCTCAACCTTTTTGTGCTTCAAAAGGCCAACAAGTTTGGTCCATCTAATCACTTTTGGATAATTTTCCAAAGAGCGGTTACCATGACATTTATATTTTGATATTAAACAGTTAATTTTATAAAATATGTATGCATTTGAAGTAAATTCCTATCTTTATGAATTTGTGATTAGCGTTTTAGAGTTGTATGTTCATACATTTGAAGGAGACCCTAGCACCGTTATGGCGAACCTATGGCACGCATTTCAGAGGTGGCACGCAGAGCCCTCTCTGCAGGCATGCACACTGTTGGCTGTTGCTCTTCGGGTTTCTGGAGCACAGCTAGTCTTCGCGCATGCCAGAAACCCCAATACCAGCTGGCCAGTGCACGTGCTTGGTGGAAACCAAAAAACCAGGTGGCCGCCGCTTGTGTATGCCGGCCAGCTGGTCTTCGGGTTTCTAGAGCTGTGGTGCATGCTCTGATTTGGGCACTTGGTGCCAAAAAGGTTCACCATCACTGATACAGCATAACCCTTTCTGTCTGCAGGAATCCCAGTTAAATCTTCTCTAAGTGATGGCTGTTTTGCATTAAAACAATCAGTGAAGGGGAAACTTCTCTGGTTCACGGGATCAGCTGTAAAATTATTCCTCCCTTTAGGATGGTTTTCATTCAGCCAGAATCTCTCCTTGTTTTCAAGGGCTTTATGAATTATCTTTTCATTTGTTTGTTCAATTTATTTGTGATCCAGTCTAGAATGCTCCCTATACCCTACCAATTTCATCAATTATTTATTTTATCAATATTTATATGATTGACAAATTTTGCTGAACCTTTCTTTTCCCCTTTTGAGGACAGTGATAACACTCATTGTCCCAACTCAAGTGAGACCACTGTAGCTGAAAGACTCAAATCTGAAAACAACAACAACAACGTGTGATAGAAAAACCAAGGTTTCTGCTTTTAACATTCCTGGATATTTCTCTTCTAGTTCCATCCATTTCTGAAGAAGAACGATTTTTGCAATCTTTCCCACGTGAAACTGTACTTGGACCAAAATGGGGATGTGACAGCAGATTTGAACATCGTAAGCTTGATAGTTCAGTCCAGGGAGGATCCCGTTAGAAAGCAAGTGGGGAGTTTTGAAAGACAGAGACTTATTATCAATCCAGATGCTCTTTCACAGCTAAGGTTGCTCAATAAGGTTGGTGAAACATTGGTGTCTTTTCTCTGTTTTCCAAAGCCTTGAGAGACTTTTCAAGTGGCTAAGCCTATGCACCAATACAGTGAGAATTGAATGTGGGGAATAGAACCCTTATAATTTTCTTAAAAGGCTTGGGACGCTTCAGTACACTTGGCAAGGTATCTTTCGGATGCTGTAATATAGAACAGTGTTTCAAATTGATTCAGCCGTGTCCTTTGTGGGGTGCTAGGTGATAATTCTTTAAGACGTATGGCTATTTTTAAAAAAAAAAGTTTTATTAAAAAAAATTCTTTCACCATACATATTTTATGAACAGTGTTCACATTTTATACATAATCAAAATCATCCTTATAATACTTCTTAATCTTCCTATTTTTTCCAATATTTATCTCTTTTGTGTAATCCTTTATCCCAAATTTATCATTTTTCTCCATATCTTATTATTTCAACTTCTGCCATATTAATTCCTCCCCCTATTATTTTTTATCCTTTTCAATTTTATATTCGAATAACATCACTTTGCGTTATATTTCTTCTCAATGACAATTGCTCCAGTTGTTTGCCATCTTTCTTCATTTCCAGAAGAGTCTCTCTAATTCCTTTTTCTCATTCATTAGCAATAATACAGTCATCTTAATTTACTTGATTTCAAAATGAGCCGAGGTGGCGCAGTGGTTAGAGTGCAGTACTGTAGCTACTACAGCTGACTGCTAGTTCAGCAAATCAGCGAATCAAATCTCACCGGCTCAAGGTTGACTCAGCCTTCCATCCTTCAGAGGTGGGTAAAATAAAGACCCAGATTGTTGGGGGCAATATGCTACTTAGTATACTGACTTTGGTGTAAGCCGCCCAGAGTCCTCGGAGAGTGGGTGGCATAGAAATAATAATAATAATAATAATAATAATAATAATAATAATAATAATAATAATAATAATAATAATAATAATAATAATAATATTAAATTACCTATTTTCCCCTTTCCATCTGCTGTGGTTTATCACCAACATATTCTATTTTTTCTTCTTTGCAAAAAGAAACACTTTCATGTTTTCAACATTATTATTTTCTATACAATTAGCATTTTAAATATTCATTTTAATTACATTGTTATCAAAATTAATAGTATTGTCAAATTACTTATTTTCCCCTTTCTATCTATTAGGATTTAAAGTACTAATTCTATTCTGATTAACAGAGTTGGAAGGGATCCAATCCCCTGCCCAAGCAAAATACCCTACATGTGCCCCTACCTAGGATCAAACTCACAACCTCCTGATTGTGAAGCAAGAGTTTCACCTCTAGGCCACAGGAGCTGGGCTTCATTCATCTTTGTCATATAATCACTTATAATCATTTTCCACCCTATCTTATTTTTTCAACTTCTGCCATGTTATTCTCACATATTGCTTTATCAAGTCATTAATGCTTTCATCTAGCTAACATCATAGTATATCCTATACTTCTTCTCTCTTGCCACTACTATAACAATTAAAATTTCATTCTAATTTAAAAAGCTTTAAAAAGCACCATTATTATTATATTGTCTACTTTCCCATTCCCATTTATTAATCTATTTTATGTATATTTCCTAATGTTTACTTCATCATCTCATCTTTACCCATCATCTCGAAATCTTTTTAACATCCCCCTTTCTAATAGTTTTTTGCACGACCCTTTATCTCGCTCTAATTTCTCAGTTCTCTCTTTTTTTCTTTTTATATATGTTACATTTCTTCTTCTGGCTCCTTTTATCTTTTGTTGTTGTTTTTGTTTTTGTTGTTGTTGTGTTGTTTGAACTTCCCTTGCTAAAGTTTTCCCTTGTCTCTTCCAGATATTCCCCCTTTTCCCTTTACATCTGCAACTCCATTTTTTAACAATTTAATACCTCCCCAATTATTTCTCTATGAACTTAACCAGAATTTAAGGACTATATAGTTTTCTTGTATCTCCGCTTCTTTGCTTTTTCCCTCTTTGATTATTCCTTTTATTCTTTAAAATTAAAATGTTATTCTCAATTATTCATTATTATTCAAATTCAGCAACAGTCAAATCCCATTATGAAGCTGTCTTCCAGAAGAGAAGGGAAATAAACAGCCACCCAGAAGTAAAACACAGTCACTCCTTAAACGTTCTCACTTAGCCAAAATTTAAAGTCTATGTAATTTTCTTATATCTCCTTTTCTCCTTTTCTTCTTAAAATAGTCCTTTGTTCTTCAAACAGCTGCTTCCTGTTTTGTCTATTTATAGTATAGTTTATTGAATAGCCCGAAGGCCTTTTCAAACAAAACAGAGAAAAAAAGGGGAAAAAGATAAAAAAGTTACAAAAATAGCAATCTAAAAATATATGATAGATGACATTAAAATTTTACAATATCAAATTTCAATAGCTAAGTTGCCAAGACTAGATAACCCAAATAGGATAGCTCCTCTCTAACTGAGCTCATCTTCCTTACAATCGATAATTTTTTTTTTGATATAACTGGCTCGTATTGCCGTCATTCTTTTAAGGTATCGAGTGATCGCTCTTACCAGGGGAGGAGAGTCAGCCCTCAACAGAAATGCAAATTTTTGGCTTATATTCCAGTGGGGAAATTTATTTATAATTGGGGACAGATATTGTTTTCTTACTTCTTGATAGAGACTACATTCGAATATTATATGTGCCGTGTCCTCCACGACGTTTACCCCACATATGCATATTCTTTTGTCATACGGGATTTTCCGATAACGGCCGAATCTAACGTTGGTATCTAGAAGTTCGAATCTAAACTTAACAAATAACTGTCTCTCCACTGATGGCATTTCTAAATGTAAATACTTTTCCAGAGTGAAAGTTGTTTTAACTGCTGTCAGCAGTTTAAGGGAATGATTCGTTGAAAGGGTTGCCATGTCCATTTGCCCATGTATATCTTTAATCCATTGTTTAACTTGGTTCAGTGTGTCACACAACGGGAACCCTACGCCATATCGGTTCAATATTTCTGACAGCCGGGTTAGCCAGGAATACCTTTGAGGATTTGAAATCTGCTGTTCCTCTAGACATATTTTAGGGAGTCTGCTGGCATCCATCTGGGTCATTTTTAGCCAGTAGGCTACCGCCCTAGTGATTGTATAGGTGTACAGTGAGAAATGTCCCAATTCAGCTCTGACAGCTGCAGCTGAAGTGGAATTGTTTACCCCAAGCAATTTATCCTTAACAAATTATTTTGAGTTCTCTCTAATATGGGGGCCTCTGTAAGACCCCAAATTTCAGCACCATAGAGCATGATCGGAACAAGTTTAGCCTGAAAGACTTTATGAAGAGGAACAATGGAGGTTGGTTGGATTCGTTTACTTAATTTGGATACAAGGCTTGCTCCTGCTCTGACCTTTTGAGAAAGGTATTGATGGTGCGGAGTCCAACCTCCTGCACTGGAAAAAAACAATTCCAAGATAAGTATATTGGGTAACTTGCTCAATTTTTGTGTCATTAATCTGCCAATTATGCTTTTTATTCTTATTGCCAAAGACTAAAACTTTTGATTTAGCTACATTTATAGTCAAGTGGTTTGCAGTACAGTAACGTGTGAGCTTGTCAAGAAGTCTCCTCATTCCTATTTGGGTTCTAGAAAACAACACTAAGTCATCGGCATACATTAATACATTAATAAATCTAGAGCCTATTTGGGGGCTGTGCGTCAGAAGATCATCCAGCTGCACTGGGATATCATTTATATAAAGGTTAAAAAGAGTAGGGCCCAGCAGGCAGCCCTGCCTCACTCCTCTAGTTGTCGGTATGCTGTTTGTTGAGGCCCCATTTGCTGCATATCTGACTCTAATTGCCATATTAGTATAGAGAATCCTGATCAACAAAATAAGTCTGGGGTCCATCCCCATAACTTGTAGTTTCCTCCACAAATGGTTCCTATCTATAGAATCAAAAGCAGCAGTAAGGTCAATAAAGGCGGTATACAGCTTTTTCCCCTGGGTCTTGTATTTATTAATTAAGTGGGAAAGGACAAAACAATTGTCTATGGTAGACCTACCTGATCTAAAACCTGCCTGCTCATTTGCCAGAATTTCCTTATCCAAGCACCAGTCCTCTATTTTATTTAGGAGATGTTTCGTATACATTTTTGAAATTATATTAAGAAGACTGATGGGTCGGTAGTTGGATGGGGCAGCTCTGTCACCTTTCTTAAAAATTGGAAAAACTATAGCTAACCTCCACCCTTCAGGGATTATCCCTACTTTATCGATATAAGTAAACAGTGCTACCAGCACCGGTACCCAAAAGTCAATGTTGGACCTAAAGAGTTCAGGAGGCAACAAGTCCTCTCCAGGGGCCTTCCCGGCCTTTAAGGATTGAATTATGTGCTTAACTTCGGTAGGGGTAACTGGTGTCCATTCCGGACATTTCCTTAATTCTTGCTGGAAGATATCCAATTGCAAGACATTTGTTGTATTGTTACCATCAAATAAAACAAGATAGTGCTTCTCCCATTTTACTGCTGATATATCAGTGTCCATAAATGGGGAACGTTGTTTTAATATACCGGCTATCTTATGCCAAAAAATCGTAGGGAATTGGGATTTCGCTGCCATTTCTACCTCTTTCCACATCCTGGTGTTATAGCTACTTTTCTTGTTTTTCAGGAGGGATTTGTATGCTCTCCTGAGCTGAACCATATTTGAATAATCACCATCCTGTCTGGATTGGTTAACTTTCTTAACTGTGGCTCTTAGATTTGACCTCAAGTTATGGCAATCATCATCAAACCACTTTCTAGAGATCCCATCTACTTTTCTATCGTTCTGGATCATTAAGTTCCTAAGAGTAGAAGTTAGCTCTGTATAAGCTGGCATTGGGGTGTTGTCTCCGGGCATAGATTGGGAGATTTTCCTTGCTAGGTGTCTGGCTTCATCTGAGCCCAAACAAGTGGTGACAGATTTGACATCAAGTCTGTGCCAATATAACCTTTTATAGTTATAAACCCGGGCGTTTGCTAAGGTGTCAATTTCCTCTCTTGAATGAGGCCTAACTTCTGAAGAGAGTGAAACCAGAGCCGTGATGGGAAAGTGGTCACTTTCCTCTCTAAATATAGCTCTTACTTCTGAAAAATGGTGTACTAAACTAGAGGAAGTGCAGATATAATCGATAGAGGTTGAGGTTTTGTTGGACGAGAAAGTATAGGGATATATATACACCCATCACTCGAGCCACTAAGTACTTGCATATCATTCATAAACAGCAGGGAAATTAACCTCTGGGCATATTTATTGGTCCTCTTGTCCATTGAGTGGACAAGTGAACTCATTATAAAAGTAACCAGTTGGTACCAGGCCTCTGTTAGCATAGCTCTTCATTGAGGGACCTAGTCTTGCATTAGTATCTCCAGCTAATATAATTTTTGCTTGGGGAAAGCGTCCCTTTAAGGTAGCTAATACTGAATCTAATTCATCCCACAAATCCCTTCCTAGAAGGTGGAATGAAAATGGAGCGATATATACATTAATTAAGATTAAGTCCATCCCCCTGAAGGTACATCTAATAGGCAGAATATATTGGAATTGAGGATCTAAAGAAATTTCTTCACCCTTCCATCCCGTATCCCTTTTGTCCTTTGTTCTTCAAACAGCTGCTTCCTGTTTTGCCTATTTGAATACAGTATCACAGTACTTTTTCTTTTCTCCAGCAGATGGCACTCTCAGTTTCTACATGTTGCAAAATAGTCTTTTAAATCCAATTGTTTATCAAAATATTCAATATTTTTTCAAAACCTCTTATAATTTGTTCTCTTTCTTCTGAACATCGTTTATTCCCTTTTAAAAATATTTTGCTTTTCCCCAATTTTCCAAATCCAAGCCTTTCTCTTAGATTCTTTGTGTTATAGTCCATGCTTTCTCTTTTTTCTGTATTTGTGTTTTTTCTCCCCAAGTGCCAGATATTATTATTATTATTATTATTATTATTATTATTATTATTATTATTATTATTATTATTTATTATTATTATTATTATTATTATTATTATTTATTAGATTTCTATACCGCCCTACTTCCGAAGGACTCAGGGCGGTGCACAGCCAAACAATAAAAACATAATAGATAGCCACTAATCCAAATTCAGGGATTCTTTTAAGACTTCAATTCCCATTTTTCTTAGCTTAAAATGGCAGTTATCTTCCCCCAGTTCTGTCTCTCCATCCAAATGCCACTCCTGCTAAATACTTCGGTCCGGTTGTCCCAGTTTCAATGCATAAGATGGCCGCTGCCTCGGCTGCTGCTTCGGGAGAGCTGTTTCTGTTCCAGGAAGGAAATTGCCAATTCCTCGCGGTCCACAAAACGTTTCTCCTTTCTTCACCATCCCTACAAGATGGCTGTGGCTCGAAAGCCTCCCCCCAGCAATTCGTCCGGCCGGATTTTGCATGGCTCATCAGAGCCTGCTATTTTCTAGTCCGTTCCTGCTGTGATGTCAACCGGCTGGACGTATGGCTATTTTGTCTCCCTATTTTGGAACAACACTGTTCCAAAACTATCAGCTAGAAATACAAAACAAAACCATTTTTAATTCCCAGTCTTCATTAATTAAGATGTATAAAGAGCTGAAAGATTCTATTTTCACCAATGAATTAATCAGCTAACATTTATTTATCTGGAAGTATCAGTTTTAAATTGGCCATACAGCAAATTAAAGGTGCATATAACATGGATGTGAAATTGGGCTGTAAAAGAATTGACCCATGAATCACGCCACCAATGAACTCCTGTATCTATATAAAACAGATCTGTATCTGTATAAAACAGATATACAGATTATGTGTATCTATTGGGGATTTAGGTTTGGGTTTTTTTTTTTCTTTCTTCCAATATGAAGATATTTGTTACTGATGGGGGCAGATGGTAATTGAAGATACTGAAAATACTGCTGGAATAAGGATGCGATGTTACCCTAACATGGGTGATGGAGTTTATCATCCAGTTGAAGGATATTACAGAAGATGCTATATGGATTACAAGCTTAAAGTTTTTTTCTTTTAGGATTTTATTTACATAAGGGAATATTTTTCTAGGGGAGTGGGCAGAAGAATAAAGATATTAAGAATAATTATGGTAATTTTGTAGGAAAGTGGGTGGAGATAGGTTAGGTTATGGATTGTTTAGTTTAAAGAAAAGGGATATTATGTTTAGATGTGAATATATGTAATGAAGGGGGGGAAGGAAATGGGTAGTTGAATTGAATAAGTGTTAAATTAGGATTTATTGAATAGTCTTAGAGTGGAAGTATGCTTTGAAATGTGATATCGTATGGGGGATAGTAAAAGGGTAGATCACGAGTGGAAATTGTTAAATTGGGAGATATAATAATATTATTCTGTTAAATCAGGAGTTATTAGACATTGTTATAATAGAATGTCACTTGGAAATGCATATTATAGCATAGTATAAGGGGGATATGATAATTTTATTAGAAAGAAAGGGTCAGTATATGGAGATGGAGTAAGTGGATAGTAAAGCATGATATAATCTGTTATGAATTTGGGTTTTATTATGAAGAAGTCAAAGGGGAAGGGGGGGTGAGGGGGGTTAGGGAGGAGGGGGGGAAAGGGGGGAAAAATTTGTATTTGAAAAACTTTTTCAATAAAAAAAGACTGGACATGTTTCCTGTTGAAACCATTGGGAAATATGCTTTGGCATTCAGGTTTAGCTTGTCATGGCTGGGCAAGTTTATATTCTTAAATAGATTATACTGGTCAGAATATATATATATATAATAGAATAGAATATATATATATAATCTGGAAAAAAAATTAGGAAAGTCTAGATAAAAGGAAGATAGTTGAGGCAAAGCTGTAGTGTTAGATGAGAAATATATATGATATGATAGATAAATATGTATGTAAATTGCATAGATAGGTACAGGTATAGATTAGTAGAAAGTATGTATAATTGTATAGAAATATATAGATTATTAGTATGATGTTATGTATAAATAACATATAAGGTTAAAGAATTATAATATTAACATTAATATAATTTGTATTAGTTTAAAGTGTTGGAAGATATTTAGAACCAGTGATGTCATAGCTATGAAAACCTTGCTTGACCCTGTCACAGGGTTCATATTCATGTCACATGTGATACAGCAAAAAATGCCTGATTTTTGAGGGTCATGTTCTCATGCAGAATTGGGGTTCACATTCTGTCACCACCAGTTCACCCAGCACCGGAAATGTGAGTGTGCGCTCCACGTGTGTGAGACATCAAACAACATGGTAATTCACTCACCTGCGATGTCCATGCATTTGTGCAACATCAAAACCACAGCGATATAGGATTGCACTTGGGTGGGTGGGTGGACCCACCCGCAGATCGCTACTACCGGTTCACCCAAACCAGTCCGAACCAGCTGAATACCAGCTCTATTCTCATGACTAACCTCCATTTCATCTCACTCTAGTTCTAGAAACTAGGTAGTCAGTTTTAGCCTTGGTTCACCATCATGGTGGCCATATAAAATTAGCAAATAAACATACAAATAAACAAAGAACAGGTGCATTAAGGTTGACAGCCCAAATTTATAATGAAGTTTTCCTTTATTGGAGGTGGTTCTGGACCACGTTTGAATGGGGATGGCCTTGCAATGATACATGTAGTCCAGAAGAAACCTTTCCAGTTCCAACCGGTCACAGGTTTCTTCATCACAGTTTTATTCTATTTTAATAAATCTAGTAAAATAAAATAAAAAATCATTAACTTTTTAGAACAAATTTCATTCTAAACTTTAATATGAACCCAGCATCTCACTTTAAATTCATGGGTAAATGAAGAAAGGAGTAGTGCATGGTAATATAATACAATCATGTGGTTGTATTTATATATGTGTATGTATGTATGTGTATGTATTTGTGTATGTGTGTATGTATGTATGTGACACTAATTGTCAATTCATGGTTAAATCGTTTCTCAATTGCTTAGGTCCAGAATTTATTAAGTAGAAATGTCCTGTATTGGAAAGAGATATTCTAGAAGCAAAAGGGAGAAATTAAATGAAGAATCTGTCAGTAGTTGTATCTCCTGCAACATTGAGAGTTACTTAAAATGTTCTTATTTACCTAAGTGAAGTCCAGCAACTAGTTGACTAATGTTCCTGTCTACCTCCATTTTTCATTAAGGGTTAGTTCTAACATATTTTGTTTGGCATTCCTCATTTTCCTGCTTAGTCTTTGCCTCGGTCCAAATGTGTGGAAAATTGTCATCCTGGATTTTTCAAGCAAGCTCGAAAAGGAGAGCCAGTATGCTGCTATGACTGTATTCCTTGTCCAGAAGGGACCATCTCCACTCAGGAAAGTGAGTGACGCCAAAGAAAAGGCTACTAGATTCATCCAGAGCGTTTTGATCAATGTGCATTTTAAAAGAGACATCTAAAGTTAACAATTTTGTGGTTCTCAATTTTCATGGTGCCCGATTTCTTCCCTAAGGGGAAGAATAAGAAAAAGATTTGGAGGGACAAGGTAGGAAGAGATAGAAGAACATGGTGGATTCTGCAAGATTATTTGCATCCGAGGACATTTCTCTTTGCTTGCCAGTTTGGAGCTGTCCTCCCATGTTTACTGCTCTTAGGGACATCTGCATTCTTTGAAATTGAGAAATGGTTTCAGATCAATGACTTTTGCTCACCCAAACCCAGTTTGTATTACAGGCCAAAAGATATATAAATCAATCAATCAATTAATCAGTCAATCTTTATTAAGGTCATGTAACCAGAAAAGCAGAAAGATCTAATTCAGATAACCATGGACAGACGAGGGAAATACACACAGAAGACTTTCCATAAACGATGTGGAAGAAAGGACATAAATTACATTTACCATTATTAGGGGTAAAATCTGCCTCTTTTATTTTTAGTACTTTATTTTTCCATATTATGGATTAAGAGGTAAAACCCAAATATTGTTTATAGCCCAGTTTAGCATTCCCAGATTTAGCATAACCATGGTTTCCTTGTTTTCCTTGGTTGGACTGCTACTGTGACTTACCTTGAATATTGTACATAAATCAATCGATCGATCAATCAATCAATCAATCAATCTTTATCAAGGTCATGGAACCACATAAGCAGGAAGAAGTAATTCAGGGGACCACGGAGGGAGAGGATTTGGGTTCAAGGGACAAGAGAAATATATACAAAAGACTCACCATAAAAGACTTGGAGCAGTTTTGTGTGAAAGAAGGGATGTAAATTAAATTACCATTAGTAGGGGTAAAATTTCCTTTTTTATTTTTACTGCTTTAATTTTCCATATTACGGATTAAGAGGTAAAACACAAATATGGTTTATAGGCCAGTTCAACATTCCCAGATTCAACATTGCCACCATCATGGCTTCCTTGGTTGGATTGTTACTGAATCTTCCCTCTTCGTCTTATCTTTCCAATTTTCTGGGATATTAAATAATGAAATACAACAGCAACAAAAAAAGGGATATAGCTGTGGTTCTAATAAGGACTATTAACTATTGGTATTAAAAGGAAACCAATCTAAACAGAAATCAGGGAAAAAAGAGAACCAAATAAGCTATTGTATTTACTTCATACGGTGTAGCAGAATACAGCATTAATACATAAAGTTAACAGAAACAAGATATAAAATGTGCATCAAAATATAAAACATCAGAACAGTAAGTTATTTTAAAAATGCATAATAGGAATGATGGGTACAATTATGAATGAAATTAAATTATATATGAGCAGTTACTAGAGTGGCTAAGCCTATCGCTGGATATCTGGACCATTTAGCCATTGGGCAGCAATGCCCTTGAGATGATGTATTTCATGCAGGGATCCAGAGAACCTTCTGAGGGCGCATTCCCTCATAGGTAAAGGTAAAGGTTCCACTTGCACATATGTGCTAGTCGTTCCCAACTCTAGGGGGCAGTGCTCATCTCTGTTTCAAAGCCGAAGAGCCAGCACTGTCTGGAGACTTCTCCATGGTCATGTGGCCAACATGATTAAATGCCAAAGGCACACGGAACTCTGTTACCTTCACACCAAAGGTGGTCCCTATATTTCTACTTGCATTTTTAATGTACTTTCGAACTGCTAGGTTGGCAGAAGATGGGACAAGGAAAGGATACTCACCATGTTACGCGGCACTAGGGATTTGAACCGCTGAACTGCCAACCTTTTGATCGACAAGCCACTGAGCCACCGCATCCCGATTCCATCATAACATGATATAAAGTTTTTGGGATGATCCCACAGTCACAGTTAGTATTGTCAACCTGCCCCTGTTGTTTTTTTTTCAAAATTGGCACCTGCCATGGTTGGTTGGTATCATCTGCCATCCAAAGAAGATCTTTCTTGAAAGGTGAAAAGAGATATAAAAGAAATATTGCTTTTTGTTTTCTCAGATACTGAAAAATGCACCAAGTGCCCAGATGATCAATATCCAACCGAGAGCAGAGTCCAATGTATCCCCAAAAAAATAACCTTCCTCTCCTATGAAGAACATCTGGGCATCATCCTGGTGTCCATTGCCCTACTCTTGTTCCTATCCACAGGATCCATTTTAATCATATTCATTAAATACTTAGAAACTCCCATTGTCAAAGCCAACAACCGGGACCTCTCCTACATCCTCCTGGTCTCCCTCTTGCTTTGCTTCTTGTCCTCCTTTTTCTTCATTGGACGACCAAGGAAAGCCACCTGTCTTCTCCGACAAACTGTGTTCAGCATTGTCTTCTCAATAGCTGTGTCATCTGTGTTGGCCAAGACAATCACGGTGGTGCTGGCATTCTTAGCCTCAAAACCAGGGAACAAAGTGAGAAGATGGTTGGGGAAGAGCTTGGCGAATTCCATCATCCTTTCTGGTTCTGCTGGACAAATTTTCATTTGTGCCTTATGGCTGGCAATTTCTCCTCCATTCCCTGACTCTGACTTAAACTCACAGCCTGGAGTGATCATCCTGCAATGCAATGAAGGCTCTGTCACCATGTTTTATGTTGTCCTTGGCTATATGTGTTTCCTAGCTGTCATTTGCTTCACTGTAGCTTTCCTGGCTAGGAATCTGCCTGGGGCCTTCAATGAAGCCAAGCTGATCACCTTCAGCATGCTGGTCTTCTGCAGTGTCTGGGTCTCCTTCGTGCCCACTTACCTGAGCACCAAAGGAAAGTCCATGGTGATTGTTCAGGTCTTCTCCATCTTGGCCTCCAGTGCTGGACTGCTGGGTTGCATCTTCTTCCCAAAGTGCTTCATTATTATCCTGAGGCCAGATCTAAACACTAAGGAATATCTAATGATAAAAGTAGAGAAATGACAGTGAAATTGTTTCTTAGGCTCATAACATTTAATTTTTTCATTGCAGTTATTGGTGTGTTGTATTCTTTTTTTGAATCAATGTGACAATTAAGGTTATTTAAAACTGAAGGAAATAAACAGATGAAGAGTATAAGATTAATGAAATTAAATTCCAACATAACCATCAATTAGTAAAATAAACCAATTAATAATTGAAATTGTCATACATCCAGTAATGAACAAGCTCAGAAATAACACTCTAAATTCTAAATCCGTTTGAACACAGTCACTTTCTCCCTCTGTGACTTTTTCTTGAAAGTAGGTGTGAACAGTGGAGCTGGGTGTTAATATCATCCAGATGATCCCCACTTGCAACACTCTGGAGATCTACTCAAGTTACTTCTGGAGGTGACATCACAGATCTTATGGGAATCTCAGAGTTCCATGACTCTATGTTTATTTATTTATTTATTATTTATTAGTCTAATTTATATGCCGCCCTTCTCCGTAGACTCAGGGCGGTTTACAATGCATTATAGCAATAGCCTGCATTTTTTTTTTTGTATATACCTGCTTATTAGGGTTTTTGCCCCCCCCCCCCGCCAAAGCAGTGTTGTTCTATACAAAGTTGGCTTATTGCCCCCACAATCCGGGTCCTCAATTTACCTACCTCGAAAGGATGGAAGGCTGAGTCAACCTTGAGCCTGGTGAGATTCGAATTTGCATTAATTGCAGGCAGCTGGCAGCTAAGTGCTAGCACTTAACAGCACTTTAGTCCACTGCACCACTGAGGCTCTTCTCTTCTAGTTATGTTGAATCATAACTATCCTAACATCATTTCTGGACATGTCCAAAATGTAGTGACCCAGCTGCAAAACAGCACCTGGAAGGCTTAACACCCTCTGTGAAGACTTGATCCACATAAGGAAATGACCATGAATCTTATACATACAAAAATATGATCCTCTTGTCCCCAAATGGGAAGGAGGAAGGGAGGGAGGGGGAGAGAGAGATGTATATATCTATATCTTCCAGAGAAGGTGCACTCTTACTGCAGCTCCCTAGACAGTGAAGACTCAGGGATGCCCTCCTGCCACTTTCTATCTTGGACTATTTTCCCATTCACAATATATACCCTGTTTCCCCCAAAATAAGACATCCCCTGATAATAAGCCTAATCGGGCTTTTTGAGCACATGGCAATAAGGCCAAGTGCTTATTTCAGTGTTAAAAAATAAATAAATAAGACAGGGTCTTATTTTCGGGGAAACACGGTATATAAAGTGGCCAAACGCACCAGAGAGGCATCATTAATTCTCAGGACCATGGATTCAGTTGATACAGGATCTTTTGCCTGAAATCTGCAGTTTTGAAATTGTAGGCCCGTATTTCTGCCCAAACCAAGTGTGAGGAAAAAAGGTTTCCAGCTTTTCCATCTCCCATTACCTAATCAAAGATCAGCAGACAATTCATTCTTCTTTTTCTTCACTGATGGCACTTGGGAGTCATCCATTGTCCATTTTCATTGTTATCTTCCTACTTTTTTTATCTATTTTTAGTTTCTGTTTTTTATTTTCCTTCTGTCAAAGTCTTGAATTTTTCATTAGGTTTTAAAATAGTTTTTAAACATTATTTTATTTTATTTTCCCTACTCTCCTTCTGATTTTGGGCTGCATCTGAGCAGAGTTTCCTAAAAGAGAGAAGATTTTCCCCTTCAACTCATCCAGTTCTAAGGGAAGGCAAGAGACCCGCCTCTTTCTCTCTTTCTAGTGGCTGCCTCTTTTCCTGGCCTGCCTCATCGTCATGGCAACCCAGCAGCAGCCAATCAAACAGGAGGGAAGACACAATGGTTGCCTGGAAACTCAGCCACCAATCAGCCTCATAGAGAAGTGGTTTGAATTAAAAAAAAGATGGAGGGGGGGGGGAAGGAAGGTATCAAATAAGGATAAAGTTAAAAGTTTTTTTTACTGATGATAAAGAGACAAAAACTCCCAGAAATGCAGACGGAGGGGAGGCTGAAGTCCTAAAAGAGTTCCCCCCCACCTAAAAATGGCTGCCATGATGAGTGGAGCCTTTGGTGCAAGTGGGAGCAGTGGCTGCTGGGGAGAGTTGGCTGGAGGGTCTGGAGGGCCATGAGGGACCCTCAGGATGCATCTTCCTCAGAATCTTAGAGAGTCGCCTCCAGGGAGATGCCGATTGCATGTTTATAATCACCATTCACCTATGAAGGCTGATAGATTAAAAACATTTTCCAAGAGTTTATTCAGAAAGATCAATGTGGGTTTTTACTTAAATGACAAAAGATAACAATGTGAGAACTGTGTTGGATGTCATAGTACTTTTACAACGACATAACAAAAAACAAGCCACATAGATCTTAGTTGCAGAGAATTCCTTTGATCATTTGCATTGATCTTTTTTTGCTTAAAGTTCTGGAAGATATGAGCCTTGCTGAGAATTTTATTCAACAAATTTAGTGTCAGAGGTTGAAATTACGGTTAATGGTGTTCTAACTAAACCATGCGATATCCAGAAGGGGACAAGTCAAGGTTTTTCTTTGTCCTCTTTGCTGTTTATTTTGGCTCTTGAAGTATTGATGTATCATGGCCCAGGAAGAAGGAGAGCAGAAGGGAGATTCCGTTAGGTTAGTTGCCTAGCAACAGAGTCAAGATTCCGATCAGTGACAGTTGGCTGCAGCAACTTTTGGAGAAGTGTGGCCTTACCTTGGAATAGCGCATCCAGTTTTGGTTGCCATGATGTAAAAAAGATGTTGAGACTCTAGAAAGAGTGCAGAGAAGAGCAACAAAGATGATTAGGGGATTGGAGGCTAAAACATATAAAGAATGGTTGCTGGAACTGGGTATATCTAGTTTAATGAAAAGAAGGACTAGGGGTGACATCATAACAGTGTCCCAATATCTCAGGGGTTGCTACAATAAAGAGAGATCAGGATATTCTCCAAAGCACCTGAGGGCAGGATAAGAAGCAATGAATGGAAATTAATCAAGGAGAGAAATAACCTAGAATTAAGGAGAAATTTTCTGACAGTCAGTACTACACATTCTGTTCACACAGAGTCCAGACTAAAGGAAATCTGAGTGATATCACCAGCAATATCTGTGAGGGTGATATTGGAGTTTTGAAGAGGGGGTCAACCTATTTTCCATAGCACCAGAAGACAAGACAAGAGACAATGGATGGAAACAAATCAAGGAGAGAAGCAACCTAGAACTAAGGAGAAATTTCCTGACAGAACAATTAATCAGTAGATATTCACGATAAACCATTTTATACCAAATTTATATTTAGTTGATAGAAGAGACTGTGGGTTCCCTCTTTGCTGGAAATGACATTTAATGGTCAAATGTGATCCCTGTGTATGGATTTCACTCTTTATCCTTAGGCCATTGGAATGTCTGAGAACTGTGACCCTGCTCTTGGAACTGATTAAAAAGCAAACGTAAAAATCAACACAAAGAGAAGTCTTCCATAAAATATCAGAATACACAGAGAAGTTTTATTACAAATACGGTTCCAGCTATGATTAAGATGACAGAGAGGAGGATTGTTCCTTTTCTCCTTTCTCCTTTCTTATATACAGTATACAGTAGTGGCCAAAATTGTGGAAACCCTTTGGGAAAAGTGTATTTTTGAGGTCTGATGGCTAATAACACCACTTTTTTTCTTTTTTTTTTGAGTTTCAAGATAATCATATTCCACTGCTGGAATGGCCTGGGAATAGCCCAGACCTTAACCCAATTGAAAATCTATGGAGCCGACTAAAGTAACTTGTTAGTCAGAATGACCCAACAATAAAACCCAGTTAATAGAAGAAATCATTCAATCTTGGTTTCACATTATAAGAGCTGCAGAACTAAAATACTTAGTTCACTCCATGGGAAGACACTATAAGGTGCACATGCTAAAGGTTACCCAACTAAGTATTAACTGACATGGTGATAATTTTTGTATATCTCGTTTTTTCTATGTGTTTCACTTTTCTTCTTTATAACTACTATTCTACAGTAATAGAAAATCCTTCATAAAAGTTATTGCATTACATTCTTGATTAAATTATCTTTCCATTGATAAATAATTTTATAGTTCCAAACAAAGTGGGGTTATCAGCTAGTTTTAGAAAATACACTTTTCCCAAAAGGAATTCCACAATTGGACTTCCGGATTTCCTTCCTTCTCTGTTTTGGATTTAGCTCCCATCCTTTCCCTATGATTGGGTGTGGCAAAGACGGTCTCTAGGCAGCTTCCAGAGAAGGTGCACTCTTCCTGCATTTCCCTGGTCGAGTCTAGACAGTGAAGCCTCAGGGATGCTCTCCTGCCATTTTCTATCTTAGATGATTTTCCCATTCACATAGGTGAGTGCTGAAAGCTTCACATTTGGGATACAAAGGGATCATATGGCTTGTTTGGATAGGAGACCAATATGATTCATGGCTGTTTTCCATTTCCTTATCTGGATCAAGTCTTCACAGAGGATGTTGAGCCTTTCAGGTGCTGTTTTGCAGCAGGATCACTAGTTTTTGGAAATGTCCAGAAAGGATATTAGGATGGTTATGACTGAACACAGAGTCATGGAACTCTGAGATCCCATATGATCTATGAAGTCACCTAACACCTCCAGAAATGTCTGGTCTAGATATCCAGAGTGTTGAAAGTGGGATCATCTGCATGATCTTGACACCCAGCTCCACTGCTCACACCTACTTTCAAGAAAAAGCCATAGAGAAAATGACCATGTTCACACAGATTTAGAATTTCATATTCAAGACACCTCAGGCAAAAGATTCCTTTCCCCTGTCTTTGGGGAGACTTTTCTATTCACCTGTCTTTACTTAATATATTATTTAATATTATTTAATATTATTTCTTAGCTTGTTCATCCCTGGATGCATGACAATTTTAATTATTGTTTATTTTACTGTTTGATGATAATGTGGAAATAATTTCATTAGACTTACATTCTTTATCTGTTTATTTCCTTCTGTTTTAAATAACCTTAATTGTCACATTGATGCAAAGGAAGAATAAAAAAGCCCAACAATTGCAATT